GAAGCTATTAAAGGCCTGTCTATTTTCCCAGTGTGAGGTAGAGTGATGTTTGAACCCCTGTTGAATGGGTTTTCTTTGTTTATATGTATTTTGGGGGGAGGGGTGTTTTATGATTATTATTATTAATAATATTAATATTAATAATAATAATAATAATAATAGTAATAATAGTAATAATAATAATAATAATGACTACTTCATTGTCACTGTACGTGTATACACAGTATACCCATACAACGAAATTCACTTAGCACCCAAAGACCAGGTCCAACATACATAACAATCCCCAAACACACTTCCGCCCACCACAAATTCCCCACCCCTAAACCACCCAAACATCCACACAACAGACCAAGTAATGCTGTCCAACAGCTCACGGATGGTGGCCCTTTAGTTTATTGTTGAGTGCAATTATAACTTTGGGATAAAAACTAATAATTATTTGTAATCGTAAGGTGCCCAGAGTCATTGGGAATCTGGCAGCCTATGAACTGAATACAGGAATAAAGGCCTATGACACTGTGCCTGAACATGGGATAATAGCAAAATAAGAGCTATTTTGGTATAGTGGTTAAGGTGCTAGTTTAGAACCTCACAGGGTTGTTGTTGTGGGAAAATAAGAGGAGGAAGGAGTATTAGGTATGTTCACTGCCTTGAGTTACAAATAAAGTAATAAAGGCAGGATAAAAATCTAACAAATAAAATGCACTAAAGTTTCACTTAATATCTATTTCGAAGTGGAAATGAATTAGAGATGTGTGTTGACCTTAATTAGAAACATACTAGTGTAATTGTTTATATTACTATTTCCTGCAGCACAACAGTGAATTTTCTTGTCAAAGAAAAGTCCACATTCAATTGCTTTCTGTATACTAAAGCTTTGTGATGATCTCAGGTTATCCTTGTCTGAAGCCACTTACCTAGCACAGAGGGAGACCTGCCTTTACGCATCATTAAAAAAGAATTATGCCTATCACTTCTTCTGCTTAGCTGACTTATTTTATGGATTGTAAATTGTGCCAATCAGGCAGGTCTAACAGCTTTTTCCAATTCAGTGCCCTCCATATGTGTGAGACTTCATTTTCACGTTTCCAGCAGTGAAGTGGCTGCTATAGTGGCTGAAGTGGCTGCTGGGAAATTTGTGAAGCTTCCGTTGTGATGGAATATAAGAAAGGCTGAGGTGTATATTAGTGTGCAACCAGGGATGGGCTTCAAAAATTTTAACAAGGGGTTCTCTGTCCGGTTGCTGGGTGGGCGTGGCCATGGTGGGTGTGGCCTAGTTGGCCTCCAGCACCACGGTGGGGAGGGGAATCATTTTTGCCCTCCCTGGGCTCCGGAGGCTTTCTTCGAGTCTCCAGGAGGTGAAAACAGCCTCCCAAGGCTCCGGAGGCCCTCTGGAGGCCGGAAACGGGCCCGTTTCTGAACTTCCAGTAGGCCCGTTTTTCCCCTTCCCCGAGCCTTGTGCACGCCCTGCACTTACCTGCATCCAAAACGGGCTGTGTGGGGATTCCTGGGCTGGGCGGGCTGGGCAGGGCAGGGCCAGCCAGGAATGGGATATGGGGGTTCTCCGAACTGCACAGAATCTTAGCTAGAGGTTCTCCCGAACCCCTGCGAACACCCAGCAGCCCACCCCTATGTGCAACCATTTTTTAAAAAATAAATTATAATTTTAAAAGGTCCATGGAACCCCTGAACATCAAGTTTTATAGCATATGGATATGCTATAAAATAATTTAAATATAAAAATTTAAATAAAAAAAATTAATATACAATTATTTAAAATAATTTAAAATACAGTATTAAAATAAGTAATGCAAAACAGTAGTTTTCAAACTATTTATATTGTGTATAAGCCATCTTGAGTCGCCATGGACGAGTTAGCCAGCAATATAAATTTTCTAAAATAAAAATAAGCCTGCAATGTAACACATTTAAAATATTTTTTAAAAGCATCTTTCCTTACTATCCATGATAATGGCTCAAATCACTCTCCTAAGGTTTTTTTTTTTAAATTGAAATCTATGGAAGAACTGTTGGGGGACAATATGCACTAGGTTCTGCTAGATTTCCTATTTTCCCAGATTCCTCTTTGCTCTTCAATGCCTCTCCTGTTTCTTAACACACCACACACACACATTATTTACTACTGAGATAATTTAATTGATTTTCCCCAAAGGCATGACCTTTGGGGAAATTTATTCAAATTTGTAGGCTCCCAGAGTACTTGACTCAGTGTTAATGTTAAAACAGAAGCTTGGCTAATTTGCAAACTTTTCATTAAAAAGCTAGGATGAATGCTATCGTTGCTGTCTCTCTGACCCCAGCGAGCTGTTGTGAAATCCATGTAACATTTTATTTCTTCAGCTGCCTAGCAAAGAGTGTTGTTTGCAAGTTATCGCCAACCATTTCCTTTCCGCAATCTGCCATGGTTTGTTATGAGCATTACGCAGCAGGAGAGCCAAAGCTTTGTTCCCAGAAGAGTTATTTTACACCAGCGTCCTCTAAGCGGTGACAAGCATTACTGTGCACGTTGCCTGCAGCAGTACAGAAGTCCCTTTCTTCTCCCAGGATTTGCAGATTCTTTGGGGAAAAAAACATTGTTTTGATCTAGACCAGGGGTGTCAAACTCAAGGCCCGCGGCTGGATCAGACCGGCGAGGTGCTTAGATCTGGCCCACGGGGCCGGCTTGGAAATAACAAACGACCGGCGCGTGGTGCCTCTGCTACTGAAAATGGGGCCCATGCTCCATTCTGGGCCTGGATGGCCTCCTGCATGCGGGCCCCCCGCATCCCATTTTGGCTACCAGAGTGCTGCAGGAGGCCATCCTTGACTCAGATGGTTATAAAAGGGAGGAAAGGTAAAATATTTTACCTTTCAGGCTTGCAAGATTCTGCTTCTGTAGCCTATGTCAATAATTTATGGTTCTAGTCTTCCTATGGGGTCAGTTTCTTGATCTGGTCTCTCTCTCATAGGGTGATCAAGTAGATCAAGTATGTATTAAAAAAACAAAATCACAATAATGTACGCCTATTTTTATAATTGTATAAAACCATGTGTGCAGAGGTGCGGTCCTGTATCACATCCACCAAGGCTATGCCCCCACGCCACGCCACACCACACCCTCCCATACACCCCTGGCCTTCCGAGGTCAAACACAACTCTGATGCATCCCTCAATGAAATCGAATTTGACACTCCTGATCTAGACCTAGACTCAGGTTCTTAGCTGTCTACTTGCAATCAGCTCTGGAATAATCAGGAAAGAAGATTGGAACCATGCATTATAATAGTCCACTATTTTGGTGCTTTAAATGTACATGCAGAGGAAATACATTTGCAAAGGTGTACGTGTGTGTGTGTGTATCAAAAAAATAAAGGGAACACAAGCAGAAGACATTCGAGATCTGAATGAATGAAATAGCCTTATTAAATACTTTGTTCTTTACATACAGTAGTGTATACACTGCTCAAACAACTAAAGGGAACACAAAACTAGTGTATGTAACGAACAAAGTATTTAATAAGGCTATTTCATTCATTCAGATCTCGGATGTCTAACAACCAACCAATTTAACAACTGCAGTGATTCACTTAACAGCTGTGGCAAGAAAAGGCATAAAAGGGGGAAAACTCACTTAACAAATGTTTCAGTTAGCAACATAAATTTTGGGCCTCGTTGGGGTCGTACCTGTAGAGGCCAACCTTTGTAACCTGTAACCTGTAACCTTCCTACAGATGAGTTACAAAACTATAAAAACAGAATAAAACAAATTAACTTCAAGTCAACACAAAAATGAGTTAAACTGGCGATCAGTGAGTTTGGGAAATGAGGAACCAACAACAACTCCTTAAAGACCTCAATCGAAGTAGGCACAAAGTATTCCTTTCTGTGACCTTAAATCTCTATTTGTATCCTTTCACAGCAATCTTTCTGAAGGTCGTCCTCCAATTGCTGGAATTTTCCCATCATTTCTGAAGTATTAGCTCTCAAATAGATTTTACATAAAAATGAAGGAAAAACCCAAAGAGAAAACAGCATCCTTAACCAAGGGGAAGAAATAGTAGAAATATATCTCCACCCTGCAACCATAGCTACTCCTACTTTCAGCCACTGATTTCAAATACAGGTAGATCTCATTTAGCGACCATAATGGGGACTGGCAACTCGGTCAGTAACCAAAATAGTTGCTAAGTAATCCACAACTGTGCTTGTGATCTTCCTTCAGCTTTCTTTTCCTTTCTAGACCTGCAAATGTTGTAAGTGCAAGGACTGGTTGTCAAGTTACTTTTTCATAACCATTGTAACCGCAAACAGTTGCAAAACAAGGCAGTCAGTGTAAATGAGGACCACTTGTAATGCTGGTTGAAATTTGGGGATAGGGGCTAATAATGACCATTTATGTCAGCTCAGTTTTAACAGTCGGTATATGATAAATAGGAATACTATAGGCAGGGTAAAAGAGCCAACTGTTATATACCAGCGGTTTGTAATATGTTTGAATAAACTGCACCATAAATTACAGGATCCAAATGATGAAATAAGGTAAAGGTTCCCCTCGCACATATGTGCTAGTTGTTCCCGACTCTAGGGGGTGGTGCTCATCTCCGTTTCAAATCCGAAGAGCCAGCGCTGTCCGAAGACGTTTCTGTAGTCATGTGGCCGGCATGACTAAACACCAAAGGCACACGGAACGCTGTTATCTTCCCACCAAAGGTGGTCCCTATTTTTCTACTTGCATTTTTTACATGCTTTTGAACTGCTAGGTTGGCAGAAGCTGGGTCAAGTAACGGGAGCTCACCCCGTTACGCGGCACTATGGATTCGAACCGCGGAACTGTCAACCTTTTGATCGACAAGTTCAGCGTCTTAGCCACTGAGCCACCGCGTCCCTAATGATGAAATAAACATGCTCTAAAATAAGTTACTCTAGAAACAAAATGGCTTATTTGTATGGTAATAACAATCAGTCTTCTTTCTCTCTTACTTACCTCCAATATTCAGATTACAGGTACATCTCCGGAAAATGTCACAGATCCCAGTCAGGAAAATGGGAAGAAACCAAATAAATCACATCAGTTGAAGAAAATTTTTAAGGAATATGGAGCTGTTGGAGTAACGTTTCATATTGGGATTTCTTTGATATCTCTGGGGATGTTTTATCTCATTGTGTCAAGGTAAGTATTATGACTGTTGCTGTTATTGGTGCATTAGAAGTTTGATCACTATACTGTAAATCAGGTTTGCATGCTCTCCCTTTCTGATCTTCTTGCATTTACAAAGAGAAAATGAGGTCTTTTTTTTTTTTGTTTAATTTAAAAACTGTTAAGCTGAATTTTATCTTCAGTATACAGGTCATCCTCAATTTACGACCACAATTGAGCCCAAAATTTCTGTTGTTAAGCAAGACGTTTGTTGAGTTTTGCTCCATCTTACGACATTTCTTGCCACAGTTGTTAAGCGAATCACTGCAGTTGTTAAGTTAGTAACCCAGTTGTTCAGTGAATCGGATTATCCGATTGACTTTGCTTATCAGAAGGTCGCAAAAGGTGATCACAAGACCCCCAAGACACAGCAATTATCACAAATATGAACCAATTGCCAGACATCTGAATTTTGATCACGTTGCCATGGGGATGCTACATGGGGGATGCTACAAAAGTTGTAACTGTGAAAAATGGTCATGTCACTTTTTTTAGTGCTGTCGTAACTTTGGGCCATGCCAAAACATTCAGTGAGTTTACAATAATCTTAAACATTGAATTTAGGCCTGCTGGAATTTGGGCAGCTCCAAATTACTTCGGACTATTGAGAATCCTCAATTTTCTCTTCCATCCCTGACTGCTACCAGATTGGACAGCCTGTAGCACTAGCCAGAACCACCCAATTTGGAGGGCTTTTAACTCAAGCCAGTTTTGTCCACCCAGGAATCCCTTTACAGTAGCTCATACCAAAATCATTCAACTTCTGCCTTTGGCAAGGACCATTGGGGTTGGGTAGCTAATAAATTCAAATTAGTAGTAATAATAAGGGCTACAAACACAGTGTTTATCTCTGCAGCCCTTGCCTCCGTCTAGTAGGTGACTCACAGGAGGCTCTAAACCAGGAGTGTCAAACTCACATTGTCATGGCAGTGTCACATGACATATCAGAACTTTCCCCTCTTTTGCTAAACCGGGCATGGGCATGGCCAGTGCATGATGTATCGGCTCATGAGCCGTGAGTTTGACAGCCTGTTCTAGAGCAGGGGTCAGCAACCCACGGCTCTGGAGCCGCATGTGGCTCTTTCATCCCTCCGCTGTGGCTCCCTGTCGCTGGTCGGCTCCACAATTGATAGGGCTTTCAGTTAGTTCAGGTAGAGGAAAAAGGATGCTACGCTAGAAGGGGGCTCTGTGGTGGGGGAACCGGACCGGACTTCCAGTCAGCAGAGGAAAAAGGATGCCACGCTAGGAGGAGACTATGATGGGGGAACTGGACTTCCGATTGGCTCCAGAATTGAATGGGGGGCTTCTGGTTAGGACCTTTGTGGCTCTTTGAGTGTTTAAGGTTGCCAACCCCTGCTCTAGAGGAATATTTTCTAATCTCAGAAACTCTTAAGATGTGTGGACTACAATTCCTAGAATGCCCCAGTTGCTAAGATTGAGAAACACTTCTAGCTAGACTGAGTGGCTAGCTTAGCTCTCTGAAGCTTGCCATAACCTTACTCCACATCACCAGTTTTCTTCTCATTCAGGTTATTTAACAAACCAGGATACAAATCTCACAATTCAATCAGAGATAGAGCAGACGTATGTCCCCATATTCATAGGTGCATGAAAATAAAGGAGGCGTAATCTGGCCTACCTGTAGTCATCTGAACCATGGAATAGTCTTCTCCAGGCCTGAGGGATACACTGAATTTATAGTTTTCTACCATACCTATGAAGTGTTTGTTTCAGATTGGATGAACTTGAACAGGAACACAGCCAAGATTTCCTTTACAACCACAACTGGGACTGGAATTTTTGTTGCTAAGCAAAGTGGTTGTACAGCGAGTCACGCCTGATTTTATGATCTTTTTTGCCATGGTTAGGCGAATTACTGCATTGTTAAGTGAATCAGAGTCATTAAGCGAATTCAGCTTCCTCCATTGACTCTGCTGGTCAAAGCCAGCCAGGAAGGTCATAAATAGTGATCCCATGATCCCAGAATGCTGCAACCTTTGTAAATATATGCCTGGTTGCCAAGTATCCAAATTGATTACAGGACGGTGGGTTGCAGTCATAAGTGCAGGTACCACTTGTAAGTCAGTTTTTTCAAGTTTCACTGTAAACTTTGAACAATCACTAAACAAGTGGTTGAGTACCTGTATATAGTTTTTGCAAAAAATCGAACAAAACAAACCCCATCAAAATCATTCACTTTCACACTATTAATATGTCGTCTGTTTCTTCTTCTCCCTTTTAGTGGAGTGGACATGACCACTATTCTCTTCAAGCTGGGATTTGATGAAGCCCTTGTGCGATCCAAGCTAGCTGCTGGAACAAGCACTTTTGTATTGGCCTACGCTATTCATAAACTGTTTGCTCCTGTCCGGATCAGCATCACCGTAGTCTCGGTGCCCTTTCTCGTTCGCTACTTTCGGAAGATAGGATTTTTCAAGCCTCCGTCTCCAAACCCATGAAATTATTCCCTGGAATTTAAAAGGACACTCCATCGTTTCTTCCTAGAAACATTCAATAGCTAATGCGCTCTCTGGCTTGTCTGTTTGCAATCTGCCCCCCCCCCATCTCTTTCTTCAAAAGGATGGGAATGTGCTTTATCTGAAATCAGTAACTGCTTCGAAAACACTGCTGTCTATGTGGCTCAGCTACATTGTTTGTTTACTGATGCCCTGAAGAATTATGGATTGGGTACGCTGATAAACATGTCAGATCACACCACTAGAGCCTATTATCTGTATGGAGCAGGAAGACTTTTTAAACAATGGGCCTATTCAGGATTGTCCCACAGTGGAAAATGTTGAAGAACAGGCATAAATGATCAGAAGGCAGGTTCAAGTTGAGGACTAGAAACACTTCCTAAAAACAATTTGACAATGAAACCCAATTTCGTATTTCCTTTTTCTGGGATGCTTTCAAGCATATTTTGATTTTTGAACTGAATAAAGCTGTAAACTCTGTGGACTAAGTGGTGCTTTCAGTTCTGATTCTAAGCCTTCCATATTCTCTGCAAACTCATCTTTTAAATGAACTGATTGAATTTAGAATGCAGATTAGACATTATTCCACTTACACTTTGCTTCCTTTCACGTGCAAGGATTTTGCAAATAAGTTAAAGCAATTTTAAACAAGACTAGAAACACAAATACGTACACGAATAAGTATGGTACTCGATTCTAAGGAGTTATATTTCTTGTATTTCAAAACATTGTAGCAACTAGTTTTTAGCAGTACATGTAGTGCTTGTCCTACCACCATACCGCTGCGATTTGGTTATAAGTCATGATTATAAAACAGGTCACATAAACCAACTGGATTTTTCAACCTTTTTTAACAGCCACCATTAAGTAAATGCTGCAGTTGTGAAAGAACCGAGTTTGTTTTGGGTCCCCCCCCCCCCCAAAACTGGAAATCCGAGTTTTCAGAAAAAAACATAGTAAATCATGGTTACATAACTGCAAGAACTTTGAATCTGAATCTTAAGTCCTTTTTTTTCAGGTTCTGGAGTGACTTCAAACACTGACCAGCCGTAAGTCAAGGAGTACCTGTATTGGATACTTACTGCCCATAATAGTTTACAGCAGGGGTGAAATCTACTTACCTTCCCTACTGGTTTGGAAGTGCGCACTCTGCGTGCGTGCTTGGACCCTTTACGCAAGGGCAAAGTGTCAAAAACAGGTTACTTCCTGGTTAAAACCAGAAAGTAATGATGTCCAGGCGGGTGGGCGGAGCCTTGCGCTGCTGCCACTACCAGATCTCCAAACCACGCACCATCACTGCTATCAGTTCGGCTGAACTGGTAGCATTTCACCCCTGGTTTACAGGCATGGTAGGATTTCCAAACAGTAAAATGGTTGAGTAATTTAATGACATTGGATAATAGTATTAGCATACATAATAGGGCAGGTGGCCAATTTGAGAATATGGGAGGGGGCAATTAGAAGCTAGAATTCACCATTTTTCTTGAGTTTGGTATGGTGTGATATGGAATGTTTGGTTCTTTAAATGGTATTTTTGCCTATTTATAGTGTTTATATATTTCCTACTACAAAATGGCTGCTCTTGATTTGTAACCATTATAGTCAGAAGAAGCTTCCAGAGGCTACAAAAACCACACATTCCCACATCTCCTTGCTTAATAACCCACAAAGTCCTGGGGTTACATTAACAGGGTGTGCTGGGATTGCCATCACCAAATGATGCTGTCACACAAAATTACACTTTTATGACTGCTTTAGTTAGCTTCAGCAATCCTGGTGCCAATTTTCATCATAACCCCAGGATAACTCCAGAATTGCCTGGAATCACTACATGCCAAAAAGAGGGCTTGTATTTTCAGGATCAAACATCATTCAGTTTATCTGAACTGTACAGGTTGTCAGAAGTAATACACCCTTCAGGGTTGACACAGGTAGCTTGAAGTGAAATGTGTTATACGTTTGGATAAATGTAAATTCTAAAAGTGAAGTACCATTAGATGCAAAAGTATACGTGCTGCAGAACCATCATGATTTTGCAATAAAGTTTTACTAGTGCTTAAACAAATACATTATTTAAAAATTGATCAAAAGTAGTTAATACAGTTTTTCTTGTAAGAACTTACACTGAACAATTGCTATCCTAGGAAGTAGGATAACTCTGACCACTGAATAAAGCAGTTAGGTATCCAAAAACAAGATGTCTGAAAGCACTGGGTTATTGTTTATAGTCTTTAGACTTCAAAGAATTTCCTATCTGAAGACAGGACAATGACCGCACAAGTAGCTCATATTTACAGAAGCAGACACTATCCATGTCACATCACTGCACAGGTTAACCTTAGGGTGTTATTGCACCATTCCAATAACTTCATGTAGATATCAAGCAGCAAGGAGGATCAACAGAATAGGAGCTACGTATCTGAGAAAGTCCTGAACAAGATGTGCCCCAGCAGCTTTGAATCACATGCATGAAGATTTCAAGTATGTCTTCCAGATATCCACAAACTGCTTTGAATGGAACTACAAGCATTGCAGCATGACTGAAAACTGCAGCTCAGACTTCATCATGTTCATAGAGGTTCGTTGTGCAGGAAACTTTTGACTTCTTTTTGAGACCAATTCTATGCTTCCTATCTCAGTTGTCTTACAATTCGTTGCCATCTCTGCTGCTTGGGAAATGCAATCAGCCATGCTTATTATGCTATGACTGAGTTTTATTAGCAACAGTGGTTTCCACCATGTTATGCTTGGGAGATTTAGTAGAGTTTGATGTAACCCATGGATGTTTAAGCACACCTTCCAGTAGTAATCTCTGCTTTGGGTCATGCTTCAAGAGCTTTGAAATCAGATCCCGAGCTCCCTCTGTTACAAAAGGAGGAAACCTGTACTCCACCTTTAAACCAAAGAAAATTACAGTTACGCACAAAGCACTGCATTCACTTCTTCCCATTGTAGAGTCCAGGTAGAAAATAACATTTAGTTTGGCAGTAGCATATCAATGTAAGACACTATCCAAATAATTGTTAATAGTGCAGAAATTGAACCTAAATTCATAAGTAAAAATTCTAATCCCTGATTAACATTTATTTATTTATTTATTTATTTATTTATTTATTTATTTATTTATTAATTAATTAATTAATTAATTAATTAAACATCAGGGAAATTGTTAAGGTAGTTTTAGGCTTCTCAAAATCTCAAAGGTTACTCATATAGAGTGAGTCATGGATTACAAGAAAACAAAAATATAAAATACACCAAGCCAGAAAAATTCAACTTACCCTTGAAATGGCTCTATATGTATCCTGATACGTTTCTGCTTCAAAAGGAGGCTTTCCTACTAAAAATTCATAACATAAGACACCAAGACTCCACAGGTCCACTGTTTCATCATGTGTCCTCCCTTCAATCATTTCAGGTGGTAGGTAATCAAGGGTGCCACATATTGTTGACCTCCTAAGGATAGCAAAGTATAGAGCAGTCAGCAAACCATGTTATTCATCTAAAAACCACAATAAATGCTATTTGTTTATTTATTTCATGTATTTATATGCCGCCCTTCTCCAGAAGGACTCAGGGCGGCGAACACAAGTTAAAAACATGTACAACAAAATCCTATTTTAAACCAAATTAACTAATAAATAAATATTTAATAATACTGATAAGCTACTCTGCTTATTATTATTATGTTTTAAGACATTTTGTATATGGATGTTACCTAACCCTAAATCTTTCTACCATCACTATCACAAAGTACTTGACATTTTTGGATGTCACAAGAAACAATCCTTTCTCAAACTCAAATCCAAAGTTCCTTTGTAGAACATGAAGTCCTCCACTGTTCACACTTCTCTACATATCATCATCCTTACTTCTTTATTAGACCTTGTTTCCCATCTACCTACTTCCTGGTTTCTAGGATATTATCAGTGTTCTCTTGTTTATTGCATTCACAACTAACTTGCTGTTGGTTTATTCATAAAATAACTAGGATTGTTGCTGTGTTATTTTGACTTGAATTGAGTTAAAAGTGTTCTACTTTCTTATATATTCAATTATTAAATGATTTTCTTTAGATGGTTATATATTATAGTATAAACTGTACCACTTTAAACATATTTTCAAATTAAGAGTTATATCCTCAACTGAAAGAATCAGAAAGTTATTTAGCTATTTTTTGTACATTTTACTACTTCTAGAAAAGTATGTTGTATATTCAAGTAATTCTAAGCCAATTCTACTCTCAAACTTTATTACAGTCTCTCCTACCTAGAAGATGGGGCATGTACAGACCATCCAAAGTCAGCAATCTTGAGCTCTCCATTTGATCCCAGCAACAAGTTTTCAGGTTTGATGTCCCTATGAATTACTCTTTTTGAATGACAATATAACAATGCATCTGCGAGTTCAGTCACATACTGTAGAAGAAACCAACATTTGCAAATAAGGCTTAACAATTTCAAATAATGCAATTGACGCTGATATGGCCAATGAGTATTTATTCATCTTATATTATACGATAAAAATAACTACCAAAAAGAACAGGAAAACTACTACATTAGGCTAAACAGCAAGTCTCTACTATGAAATGTAAAGTTTCCCTTAACTGTTATGGATCTCACCATCCTCTTAATAGTCAGATACCTGAAGTGTTACCAAAATTTCAGGAAGGTTCTGCTTGCATTGGTTTAATTACGGACGTTTGCTTTAATACAAAAGCAAATACAAATACAGTGGTTTCTATGCTCACTAACCACTGGCCTTCATCATGTAAAATGTATGTAACTTTGTCTCAAAAGATTAAAAAGAAATTCATGTACTTATTTTGTACTTTTCTGGCAAGCAGGTGTTAGCACGTTAAACAAAATTTGATGAGACCATAGAAGGTACATTGAAGATCTCTCCAATATTAAATGTTCTATCAATGACTAGGATGCGTGTACTTATGGAATGCACTTCTGGAATCTTTGACAGACAAGCAGTTTCTAAAACTGTAGTACTTGTTCTCCCTTAAGGTACTGAAAATGGGTCAACAGTTCTTCTCGGCATTATTCCTCTCCCCCACTCATTGCCACTTTCACATGATGGGTGGGAACAGCCCATTAACTCAAGTTCTTTGTAGAAAGGTTGCCTCACTTTTTCTGTTGCTAATTTTTTAAGAGACTTTCAAAAAAAAATGCCTATTTTCCAAAGCTGTATTTCTATTTTCAATGTCCCAAAGTCTAAAGAGCATTTTAAAAACAAATGCATTTTTAGAAACCCTATGTCAAATGTCTTTCTCAAAGAAAACAATCCCTAATCATGCCATAAAGGACAAGAAAAACAGTACTTCCTTTGCATATATACAAATCGGATGACCAATGGAAAAAATTGCAACAGAATCATAGTATTCCCATCATTACATGAAAATAATAAGATGAACTGGATTGCCAATTAATTGGAAATGCAGAGACGGAAAATTAAATCAGCTCAAGAATGAATCTGTAAA